GACTCGACACCAAGACTTACTTACTGACCATTAGTCGCGATGTGACTTTGACTTGAGACCCGCGTAACCCGTGTGGAGGCGGGGTCGAATACCTCCACCGTGACCCTGCGAGTCGTAGGAGGCGACGAAAAGGGAAGTATCAAGTCTGAGACAGTAAAATATAGTCGAGAGTCCCTAGGGACTTGGAGCCGAGAAAGACTGCGCTGGCAAGGACCAGCAGCATATACAAAAGACAGACCCGTCTTCTCGTCAGAGAGGGCGCCCACAAAAAACAAGACTGTAACTGTCAAACAGTAATAAGGCTCTGGTCGCAAGCCCCAGATGGATGCTTTATGCCAAGACAGACTGGCCGACTGACCGTCGGTCGTAAAATGAGACTCAGACTCAGAGATCGGGCTGAATTTACAACACGCGACAATAATAAATATGGGGGTGGTGACAAAATTTGAGGTTATATGAAACAAATATATTGTGACATGTTGCGCAAAGGAGAACTCCCCCCCCCACCAGCAGTGACGTGGCGGGTGAGTCAGCGCTCCCCTCCCACCCCTCAGCGGTAACGTAACGCTCGCGTAATAGGCGAGTAATCACCCCGCATCCTGGCAGCTATGCGCGGTGACGTCACGAGCGGAGCCGAAGAGAGCCGAGCGGAGCCGAAGATAGCCAAGCCCCCGCAACCTGGTAACTATGCAAGGCGAGTCAACAGCGGTGACGTAACAGGATGACGTGGCACTCATTACGCAACCGGCAAGCACTGCAGCTATATAAGTGAGCTGTACTGTGACAGCCGCCGAGTTATAAAGTAACCGTCGCCGAGTTGAAACATAGCAGCCTGCGAGTGTGCGATACTTAAGAAGTCAGCGAGCGGAAGACTTTTCGTGTGCTTTCCAGACATAGTGAGTGCTGTAGTACAGTTATACTCGGAGTGTGTAATTCAGGGAGACTTGTATAGCTCCCGCGTTATTAGTACGTGAAGACAAGTGAAGATTGTGTTAAGAGATTTTGTTGTAGGGTTTGTAAAGTGTGGAAACCCTTAATAGTGTGATAATTAATTGTAGCCGTTATTTGTAGATTGTTAAATAAACCAATTAACCATCTCTACGGCGTCTTCAGTAACGAAACACGTTACATTGGTATCAGAAGTGGGATCAGTAACGCAAACACGTTACAATATCTTATACAGAATCCCAGTTGAATTAATAAGCGCATCACAAAATAATAAAAATAATAGTAATATTAATACAGAGTGGCCAAAAAGTCGGTTCCTAAATTATTCTCTCGTCTTAACAGGAATGTTTAGATTTACACCTGCCAACCAGTTTGTAGAACGGTATCACAGCGCTGCAAGTTGTGTCCTGGGCATAGAGGATCTCATTTCGAAAAGTATTTGTAAATTCAATAAGTAACAAAGAAATTTATTTTGGTGTACATTTTACTAACAAGTGAACTGACTTTTGGACCAACTTTAGACATGCAGGACAAGAAGTTTGTATTATGTCGAAGTATGATTTTTGAATTCTGCTTCGAATTCCTTATTAAGCTGTAAACATGAAGAAACGCCGTGAAAAATAACACCAGAAAGTTGTATCTGACTAAAATTGTGGTCTTCTGGGTTGTGACACCGTGTCATTATGAGGACCAATAACGACAGAAGGTCGTGGAAAGGGGTCTGCATTCCTTGAGTCCTATGAGACCCTTCCGTGTAACTTGCTTATTTCTGACTCCGTGTAAATATTCACCTGTATATTGTAGAAGAGTAGAAGATTCCTTTCTCTACACTGAAGATGGAGGCAACATATTCCTCCGAAATTTCAATAAATATCTACCAGAATACACGATATACCGATGTGTGATATATATTACACATCCTTCTAATTTTATCGCTGGCCTTTGATTTGGCCGTCAGCCGAAGTGTTACATGAATGTGTTAAGTTATCCAGTATAATCAAAATTAAAGTTATTTACCGTATCTGTCTTCAGATTCATAAATAATACAACTTTATTTTAAACACAAGAGCTCAGGAATGATTTACATAAGTGTAACAATGATTGATCATAGGAATGGACTGGAGAGTAATACATACAAAATTGCTGCATATGGTTCGGAAGTCTTGGAAGTTAATTTCACCGTCTGTTGAATATGGAAAGCCAGGGGCGTCACGTCATTCATATGATAACAACCTGATTTACCGAGGCGCCCCTGGAGCCTCATGAATAAAACAATATGGCTGCTCTAGTGTTAAACTAAAATTTTTGTAATGTTTTGCATGGCCACTGAAGTCAATAAACTGGACCGGCCCTAGACGAGAGGGCCATCAACATTTCATCACCCCGGATATACACTCTCTCCCCGCGGGGGTGTAGGAAATAAACTGTCACTTTGGAATTCTAGTCAAAACTATTAACGCAACTGCCTACTATGAGCACGTTTTATTTAATTCACTATACGTGTCGGTCCTCGCGGTAGCGTAGTTGGATGAGGCACTACGCTACAAGTGTAGTTCGAGTCCCGATAAAGTGGATTTTTTTTTCAATTGACCTAATCCTTCCAGCCACACTATGGCCCTGGGGTCGACTCAGCCTCTAACAGAAATGAGTACCAGGAATCTTCCTGGGTGTAAAGGATGTAAGGCTGACAACCTCACCGCCATCTGTGACCCGATTGTGTAAAAGATATGGGAGCCTCGACGTCTCACAAATCTATGGGCCTCCATGGCCTGTTAGAGGGATAGCTTTACCTATTTTTGCCTACTATTGCTTTATCTTCAGGGATATAATACTTAAACATTAATTAATTAATTGTCATGTCGTATGTCTTATAGAACATGGATCCCTAGTTCAGAAATTTTGCATTTCATCTGTTACCCAGCCTACTGATTATCGAGCAGCAAAAACGAAAAATTTTAAATATAAATATGAAACGTGAGAAATATATATATATATAGTGTCCATCTTGCAGTGCATCCACTTTTACCTGTCACTTCACAACATGTTTCGGCAACATAGTGCCATCATCAGGTGCTCCATTTACACTAATCTATTGCATTGCTTTCCATTATGTCAATGTAAAATTATTTAAAAAGTATTTTAAAATATTCGTCAGTTATAATAAATTTTTTGTATACTAAAATCTTGTTAAGATATTTATCTTAGTATACAAAATATTTATTATAACTGACGAATATTTTGAAATACTTTTTAAATAATTTTGCATTGACATAATGGCATGCAATGCAATAGATTAGTGTAAATGGAGCACCTGATGACCTGATGATGGCACTGTAACCGTCCATTCTGACTGGAGGAGTGTTGTGTGAAAATTAAATTTGTATTAAGTTAAGATTAACAATATTACAAACAAAGAGATCCGGCAGATAGCCAGCTCTTACACGCGGAAGGGACATAGTTCAAGTTTTGCTATGTGAACAGGAAGTAACATCTGGTACTTTCCTGGAATTCTGGCAGTTTCAGCAACGTCGGAAAGGCTTTGAGAAAATGAGAGCTGACAGCTTGGGACAGCGATAACTTAGAAGTGGGACGGCCGGAGCCTCACACCCTGACCGTAATGCATCAAGGGGCTGTCATCCTTAGCGTCAGGTCAGCATCTGCCAGAATCACATAGCAGAGCAACATGATTGGGAATTCAAAATTTAGGGAACCTCCTAGTTTGAAAAATTAACCAATGGCAGAAGTGGAGGAGTGGATTTCTCTTGGAGTCTGGGGTTCGTGGACCTCAGAATTCAGAGAGAGGGCATTCCACCTCGGAGAGTCTTGACACTACTTTCGGCAAAGTCGGACACTAAATTTACCACTACGGCCCTTCCGTAAAATAGTATAAGTACAGTTCAAATCAATAGTATTAATAAATTCAGTTGTATGCAGAAAGCTGGAAGGGATTAAAGGACTACTAAGTGCAGCCGTCGAAAGGTGGGTGATTGTAGTGAAGTGTTCTTCCTGCCCTGTCCGAGCCAGACCCTTATAAGACCCTGGGATAGGAACTCAACTCTACCGACTACCAAAAAGAACCCAAAGAAGTGATAGGTGAGAGAGTGGCGCACAACGAAAAGGGCACAAAGGAAGTGAGCGGTTACAGCACTATGGTGCCGAAACAAGTTGTGAAGTGACGGGTAAAAGTAGATGCACTGCAAGACGGACACTGTATATATATCATGGACGAAAATCAGTGCAACAGGACGCTAAACTACAACATTGTGAGAAAAATATTTGAGTTAATATAAAGAATAAAATATTACGAGTATTATAATGTTATTTTATTGTCACGTGCATGGGGGTACGCGTGACGAAATTAACGGGTTCTAGTTCGGATTATTCGATTTATTAGCACTTCGGTTACACTCTCTCTCTCTCTCTTAATTACAATTATTACAGCGCTATGGCTGATTGGCACAATTTGCAGTCCACCGTTGCACACGCACTAGGATTCTCAGTCTTCAGTTGTCGTCTCCTGGCAATGGATCTCAACACAGAAATTAGCGCTTCAAATCACTATGAAGTCTTCTTGCCTTCAATCACTCTGTACTCCTCTGTCCTTATCTGTACTCAGTCTTCATAATTCAATAAGGACACGCTCCATTCTCGTGGTTGCTGCCATCTGTTCAGGCTGCTTCCTCGGATTCTTCTACCCTGAAGATGGAAGTGATATGTTCCTCCGAAAAGTCGGTTCACACTAGATCTACACGGCGCCACATCCCACAAGACGACATTCTTCTCTTCTGAATCTCTTTACCAAATATTTTATTCCTGAATCCAAAGAGTCGCTGTTATTTTACATTCTAAGTGCAAAGAGTAGCTTAATTAGAGTTGCATATTTTTTTTTCAGAAATCAACTACCACACACAATTTTAGGACCTTAACTCAGGTATCGCTAGGATTGCTCACATCTTATAAGTTCGCGCGTCCGCCATGTTGTTATCACTGATTGTGGAGAAACTGCAGTTTACGAAGTCTAGGTGGCATAATGTTCAAACCATATTTTGTGAAACTCATTCAACTGGATCAGATATTAAAATGGAAATATACAGACAGTAGCATGAAAATATAATTAAGACTAAATTCCTTCCTCAAGGTAGGAATATAGAGAAAGAAGAATCATTGATCGGGCCTTTACAGGCATCATTAGTGAGTCACGTATGTCATACAAGCACGCGACGGTATAATATTGTTGCTATGGCTACAGTTGTTATTGTATCGATTGAAGTAACTCTTGGGGCTTTGCAGAGCAGACGTCTTGCAGTGGCCAGTCTGCTAGTCATTCTTCAAGGTAACTGCACTTTCCTGACTCCACAATGGTCACCATAGTCAGTACGAAGTGTCAGTCCCTAGTCGAACAGAAGCGAGTTCAGTGGGCGAAAGAACGAAGTGAGTAACAATTCAACAGTTTGTAGTTACTACCATTAACAATTATTAAAGTAGTATTTCCTGTCTACAATAAAGAAGAGGCTGGTCACGGTAGCCGAGCAGTCTAAGGCATGCACTGTCTTCGCTCGCTTTGAAGCGGCGATCGTGGGATCGGATCCCAGTCAGGGCATGGATGTTTAGTGTTTGTGTGTGTGCGTTTTTCTGTGTTTGTGTGCAGGTAGAAGCCTTGCGACGAGCTGATCACCCGCCCAAGGAGTCTTACCGAATGTCTAAGTTCTAGTAAACCGAAGTGAAACGAGAGTTTTATGGAGATAGGCCAAGGCCCAAATTGGGGCTGTAGCGCCAAAGGAAACAAAATAATAAAAAGAGTTTTGTATTGGTTGTTTTTCTGTACATTTGAACACGGTTACACCATCTCGACCAAATTTGATATAATGATAGAGGACCTTCCTAGGCCGATTTTAGACACTTTAAAATCTTCTCCCAAATTTTCGGAAAACCCTCAGGGAGCATTATTTTGTTTATGTGTAAATAATCATTCTTCTTAGATTACTGAGGTTTCTTGAGCTCGATAGAGATTAGAAAACCGAAAAAGTCTCGCTTATTATATATGCATAGTTACAGTTATCCGAGATATTTACTTTGCAGTTTTCTAAAAATTAACTGCATTTTTTAAAAAAAATCACAGAATGGAGAATATTTACATTGTAATGATTTAATTAATCTCCTTACAGTTATATTGCATTATATTCTGTAATAAAGATCAGCTTTGTAACTTTTAAGTGGATTACACTTCCTAATCACACGTGTGCATTACGCACGGGTAACCCCTAGCAGAGCAGCTGGTAGGTGAATAGGCCTACATTAAAGTTGGCATGATGAATATCAACACACATTTTACTTAAGTCCATATCATTGGACTGTTATACAATAAATATAGTTCCTCCAATTACCGAAAATAAACCTCTATTATTCATGACGTTATTATTTTTTTTTCACAATTATATACAGATATACTATGTAAAGGCTGATCACCCGCCCAAGGAGTCCTACCGTATGTCTAAATTCTAGTAAACCGAAGTGAAACGGAGAGTTTCATGGAGGTAGACCTAGGCCCACATTAGTGCTGTAGCGTCAAAGAAAAAGAAATACTAGGTAAAGACAAAATTGGCCCTGTGCTTAACTAATTAAGCACTAGCCATGAATACGTATGGGGGAGTGGATGTATAGATCCATATTTTCTTGACCTCGGCACTAGTTGGAGGTGGTCAGCTTCTCACCCTGACCGCTTTACCCCCGAGGAAAGAGCCCTCGGTGACTGGGTGGGCCCCAGAGCCGGTCTGGAAGACGTGGAGAAGAGAAAATTCTTGACCCTACCAAGACTCGAACGCCGACCATTTGGTCGTCCAGCCCGTAGCCAGTCGCTATACCGACTACGCTAAGACAAAGCCCAAAGCTTATTGTTTCGAAATATCAGTGACGTCTTTGTTGCTACATCGCGATAGCGGGAAATATCCATTTGGCGCGTCATTATGTCTTCTTTTGCCTGTTTTGTGTCTGTGATTCATGGCTGGCTCTTTTGAACAAGGTAATGGACATTCGGATTCCATAAAAGGTGGCGACGTTCTTGAATACGTGGGCAACTATTTTGGTTTTCAAGAAGGGCTTTTCTGCATGGAATCAGTTCATTTTTAACTGTATCATATGATTAAGCTGCATAATAAATCCTTGTTCTTGTTTTAATTTCTAAAACTTATTTAACCTTTAAATCGCACTGGTAATTACTCGTATATGTACCATCGGCTTCAACGTTCAGTAACTTATTTTCTACACTCATGCTCATGTATGGATTTCATATTATTCTCAGAATAAATAGAGGTTATTTCCTTGAACAACAATAATTTATTTTTCTTTGAAATAAAGACGAACTACAGGGTGATTCTTTCGCTAGGAAACCCAAATATTCCTCAATAACTTCTTCATTTTTGTACGGTTCCTTATGAAAACTGACATGTACGGAACTTGCGTCTATCGAAGCTTACTTTCAACAAGATGGCGTGAAGTGCCACACATCTAATGCAGGCATGAAGGAAATTGAAAGTTATTTCGGTGACCCACTAATTTCGAGAAATCTGTGGCCGTCAAGATCACTAGACTTGACGCCACATGATTTATTCTTGTGGGGTTTACTGAAGAGCCGTGTATACAGCAATAAGTCGCGAACAATTGACGCCCTCAAATACACGATACTATGGGGGGTTGCTGTCATTACCGATGTCACATTACCAGATGTCTTCACCAGTTTGCAGACTCACATACGAAAGTGCTTGGATGCTGGAAGGGGCCATTTTCAGTATACGCTCTAAGCAGACACAGTAAGTACATGTCAATTTTCATACGGAACCATACAAAATTAAAAAGTTATTGAGGAATCGCCTTGTATGTTTTCTGAAACGTAGGAATTGAAATATTAAATATCATTTGTACGAACCTCGTGCTTAAAACTATTAACGTTAAAGCTTTATATCCGTATTTGCGATCAGTCATCTAGTGTAAAACACAATCCTGAGAATGCGGCATTTACATCCACGTCTGAAATTCTCTGTTTCTTTCAATCGGAAAATTCATTCGGACATTATAAATGTGAATTATGTTTTCTCCGTAAGCAACAGCCTACGTCAAATTTATTTCCTGGTCTATTTTTAGATAAAATAAAATAATTTAGATCATCTTTTATTCCAATATCTTGATCGGAATTTTAGTATAACAGCCAAAATTATGCACGTTAAAAATGAAGAAAACTAAATTTGCGATATAATTTCCACAAAGAAACACAAAATGTTACAATTCATTCTGAGGTAAAATATATGTGTATATATGTAGGTACGTACGTACATCCATCCGTAATTTTAAATAACGTCCTATCTGAGATTTTCGATGTTCAAAAATGGCCCTTATTTAATGACGAATTATAATCTGTCATTCCAACAAAAATACCGGTATAGTTCTCTTGCGGACTAAAATCACGGAGTTTTTTCTTTATTCCCACAAAAATTGTTTGAAGCAGTATCTGCTCCAGTCAGTATGCATACTGGCAATCAACCGCAGCTTACCAGCGAATTTGCTAAAAAAAAATAAAAATAAACTGCACTCCTACGGTGTATTGTCTGTATCCGCCTTGAGGCTAAACCTCGACATGAAAGTAAATCCATCGCCAAAATTATTTTGGAGACAAAAAGAGCTGATGATGGTTAAACACATTTTATGGCGATATTTATGATCTATCAACCTACACGTCGCCATCGACAATAAAGACAATGGGGGTACCCAGCTGGTTAGCTTAACGGTAACGCTCCAGGTTTATTGTCAGGAGGAGCTCTGTTCGAAACTCTGCCGAGATAGCGGGATATTTTGTAGTTCTTCTCAGTCTCTTCAGACAAATATTATGCAAATGTTGGAGCCTCGACGTCTCACATCTCCGTGAGCCTCCACACCCTCTTACAAGGAGAAATTTGCCTTTTACTTTTATGAACAAAACACACTTTTAAATGTTAAATAATAAAGTAATACAACACATTAACATTTCCACCCCAATTATCGCACAGACCACCACGGATGAAATGGTGGGAGCGCGGGGGGCGGTGGCGGTGGAGGAATTCGTTTCTGGAGTAGAAAGCTGGTTGCGACAGAAGACTGCAGAGTCGTACCTCGAAGGAATAGAGGCTCTAGCGTCTTGGATGACGTAAGGCCATGGAGTTAGAAGGAGGCTGTTGAAAAACAGGTTTAGGTAAACGAAGATACAGGTAGCGATGTGACATATTTGAAATTTTAAAAATATAAATTGTGAATGAGAAAAAATGTTGTGTTACTTTCTGGGTGAATTCCGTAGGTGGTACATATGGTTACCACTATGGATTATTGGGTAAAATTTATATTATAGCATTTCAATGCTCCCGCTTTTTCTACCAAAAGCCACCAGTGACATAAAATTTCAATCTAAAATTTTGGACGATATCATATTCGTGCTAACTCCTAAATATCGGTAACGAAACGAGCAGGTTGGTCTAACGGTGACGCTCAAGTCTTGTTTTCTGGAGGTGCTCGATTCAAATCTTAGCTGGAACATCGAACATTTTGATTGAGGTTTCTCATAGTTCTCATCATAATTTTGCTTTGATTAGGCCACGACCTCTTCCTTCTAATTTATGAGTTATTCTACCATGCGACATTATATACAAGAAGTCTAGATCATTGTTTTCCAAACTGTGGACCGTGGTGGTCCACCAGGTGGTCCGTAGTGTTATGCAGTCCATTACGTTGAAACGGTCTTTAAAAATTACTTTAAATTAGTGAATAGAAAAAATAGTTAATGGAAACTTGAATTTTTTCCTATTCGCAGAGAAAAAGCATAATTGCGTGCTCTTTACGGCTAAGGTGAATGTTATGACAGCCGAGTAGCCTGCGCGTGCGCCGAACGCGCCTGTACTGTTCGCAGTTGCCTAAAATTTGAGAAACACTGCCCTAGATATTGGCTGCGCCATTAAATACCTCGGAAAAAGACATATGTAACGCTTCTTGCGTTTAGCTCGTTCACAAAGACCAAGTGAACTGAACTTAATGAAAAGTATTGAATTCTGAAAATTTTATGAGAGTAGGAGTCAACGACTTTTACCGGAAGCCATCGCAGAGGAAACCATAAATGTGTTCCTTACAGGATAGCCCGGAGATTCCGAGCACGCGAACTACAGATCAACTGAATTCTGTACAAATAAGAGGAATTATTCAGAAACACGGACTTCCAGACGTGAATTGGGTCAGGCCAGGGAGCAAAGGCATCTGCTGATAACTACCCTAAAGAGAAAACGTGATTCTAGGAAACTACTAATTTCGATGCTTTGTTTCAAGGTCATGTCAATAATGAGAGATAAATAAATTAGAAGTAAATATCTAATATAAATGTAGCTAGTAGATTCTTCGGATCTATGCATAATTTAAAATATTTGTGAAAGGCTTTAAAAGAATTATATTCATGAAGAAATTAAGAGAGATAAAATTTTCAAGATTCTTGCTATCATTCATCTCATTTTCATTCTTTTTCCCGCCTTACCGTTTAAAACCCTGAATACTAAAATATACAAAATTTACCTTGCCTTTTATATGTTTGTGGAACTTGTTCTCTCATATTGATGAACGATAATAGTGTAGCGGTTGGAGAGCAGAGCAACGGGGAGAAGAGAAACAGTAGCAGAACACAAAGAAGATACTGCAAGAACAGCCTCCAAAGACAAAGGAACGGGGGTGCACCGTTAAGCTACTTGGGACGAACAGCCTTAAGGAGGGAGCAGTGTGACATGTTGCGCAACGGAGGACCCCCCTCCCCAGCGGTACGTGGCGGCATCGTAGCGCTCTCGTTACTATGGTAATAGGCGAGTCAACCCCCCGCCCCTCTCCCCGCGCTGACGTAACACGCAACGCCGCTGTCGACACGGCGTCAGGCAACAGTGGTACCGATTACGTAACAGGCAGACACTGTTACTATATAAGGGAACGATACAGCCGCCGACGATAGTTCTCAAGTTCTCAAGGCAGCAGTTACGAGTTACGCATTAACCAGCAGGGAGTCAGTTAGCCAGTCAATAGCTGTCTATGTTTCGTCGGAGTATTTCTGATACTTCCAGTGGCAGCAATTGTCAGATTGTAAATTGTGTGATTGTAAGAGCGAGTGGAATAAATTCGCTACATCCAATAAGGCGTGAAGTTATTTGTCGCGTTATATACACAACACGTGACAATAGGTTGAAGGGGCCGATCACAGTGGCCGCGCGGTCTAAGGCATGAACACTGGGATCGTTGGCTCGAATCCTACTCGGGGCATGAATGTCTTTGTGCATTTATCCTCTGTTTGTGTTGTTGTGTGTGTAGATAGCGGCCTTGAGATGGGATGATCCCCCGTCCAAGGAGCCCTACTGACTGTGTACAGATTAATAGACTGAAGAAGCAGCCAAGGTCCACGAGGGCTTTGGACAGACGGACGAACGGACGGACGGACGGATGGATGGATGGACGGATGGACGGATGGATGGACGGACGGACGGACGGACGGACGGGTGGATGGATGGATGGATGGATGGATGGATGGACGGACGGACGGATGGATGGATGGATGGATGGATGGATGGATGGATGGATGGATGGATGGATGGATGGATGGATGGATGGATGGACGGATAGATGGATGGATGGATGGATGGGTGGATGGATGGATGGATGGATGGATGGATGGATGGATGGATGGATGGATGGATGGATGGATGGATGGATGGATGGATGGATGGATGGATGGATGGATGGATGGATGGATGGATGGATGGATGGATGGATGGATGGATGGATGGATGGATGGATGGATGGATGGATGGATGGATGGATGGATGGATGGATGGATGGATGGATGGATGGATGGATGGATGGATGGATGGATGGATGGATGGATGGATGGATGGATGGATGGATGGATGGATGGATGGATGGATGGATGGATGGATGGATGGATGGATGGATGGATGGATGGATGGATGGATGGATGGATGGATGGATGGATGGATGGATGGATGGATGGATGGATGGATGGATGGATGGATGGATGGATGGATGGATGGATGGATGGATGGATGGATGGATGGATGGATGGATGGATGGATGGATGGATGGATGGATGGATGGATGGATGGATGGATGGATGGATGGATGGATGGATGGATGGATGGATGGATGGATGGATGGATGGATGGATGGATGGATGGATGGATGGATGGATGGATGGATGGATGGATGGATGGATGGATGGATGGATGGATGGATGGATGGATGGATGGATGGATGGATGGATGGATGGATGGATGGATGGATGGATGGATGGATGGATGGATGGATGGATGGATGGATGGATGGATGGATGGATGGATGGATGGATGGATGGATGGATGGATGGATGGATGGATGGATGGATGGATGGATGGATGGATGGATGGATGGATGGATGGATGGATGGATGGATGGATGGATGGATGGATGGATGGATGGATGGATGGATGGATGGATGGATGGATGGATGGATGGATGGATGGATGGATGGATGGATGGATGGATGGATGGATGGATGGATGGATGGATGGATGGATGGATGGATGGATGGATGGATGGATGGATGGATGGATGGATGNATATATATATATATATATTCTGCGATATAATGCCGTGTAGTCCGTTGAAAGTCACCCGTCGTTTCGGAGGAACATATCGCCTCCATCTTCAAGATCGACTAAGAAGCCAAGCAAGAAAACAGCGTGAAGCAGTTGGCAAGTCAATGCCTGTTGATTTTCAACTGACTATGCAGCGCTATATCCCACTAGCAAAATAATCAAGGTAATTATTTCTTAATTTTATTGATGTGTTGTTCTGTTTGTAGAGGAACTGGCCGGGCTGTGCGCCCCTTGGGGACGGCTGTCGACTCGAACAGAAGATAATTACCGAACCTGCATAAGGTAAGTTGCGTAAAAACACTTTCATTCGCACCAAGCATGAGAAACTTTTTTTTCATTGGACCCTTGTTACGAATTGGTTGCTACGGGGGTGGGGGATCCTAATGGGCCGGGTAGGCCATTACTGCCCGTCTCAGTTTACACATAATACAGTTGCGTTTATTGCTGGTATAATATAAATAAAATACAGTGGAGCTAGTGGAAGGTCCTCACTACCCACGTCCACTCCGGAGGGGCCCAAACTCCGTTCCGCCGTATCCTTTTGATTTGGTGGAAGTTAATTTGGCAAGGTAGGGGCCTCCCCCTACCTGAGTGGGGTCAAACAGCTCGGTAAGCCCGTATTCCGTTACTTACCGCCCTTTGGGCCCACGTTCGAAACCCCCCTTTCTTTCCTCCAATGTAGGGCCCTTCGGGGCCGGCCGACTGCTCCTGCGGTTCCTTGTACTCCGGCGTCGTCGCTCCCCTAGGAGCCTCCACTACCTCTCTCTCCAAGCTCTCCAATGTCTCGTTACCCACTGCCTCCTCTGGCTATCGCTACCCGGTCCATCCTGCTAGCCCCACCCCCACCGCAGGCGGTGCCTGCCAAGCGTCTTCCAAGGCAGTGTTGCCAGATCTCCGAGGCTTTCTCAACGTAGTTTCGGCCGGAGCGTCGGGCTCGTAACACCCTGGCCTCAGATTTTCAGTTTCATGAACATTTTACAGACGGTAGGACTCCTTGGACGAGTGATCAGTTCGTCGCTAGGCCTCTACCAAAACAAAGGGCAACACAAACGCAGAATAAACGCATACACACACGAAACATCCATGCCTTGTATGGAATTCGAACCCACGATTCCAGCTTCCAAGCGAGCGAAGACATACATGCTTTAGGCCGCTCGGCTACCGTGACCGGCTATGAGAAACTTAGCTTCTATACAGATAATCAGTATTCTTCCTCTCTTGATACAAACTATCTGGTTTCAGATTTTTTTTTTGTGATCTAAATGTTGTCCTATTCGTCCCGGAGATGTGGTCAGAGTCGGGTTAGGTTGGGTCGGGTCGGGTAAAGTCCTTCTGCCCCCGCCTGCAAAGTCGATCTTGATTTCGGGTCCCGTCGGAACCCATGACTATATTTTTGTTCTTTCCAAGACTTTTCATGTAATGAAATGGCGCCTCATCTTCGAAGATGGATGGATCTGACTATTACTGGTCACTATCCTTCTACTGGGGGGCGACTCGTGTGGGCAGTCACTCACTCCTTGACCCTTTCCTTCACATACACACCACTTTCATGTGGATAGAAGAAGTAGGCGTAACCAGAGTTTTTTCCGAGTGTAGCAGCTAGTTTTCCATTAGGGGGAGCAGCCACAAAATTTGTTTATTATGTTTAACACGTTTAATACTATTTTTAGAGATCGCTCTAGATAATTCATGACGTAAAACTATTTTGTAAGTACCTCTAATTCTTGTTATTAATATTTTATATTTTTCCTCTTCTTCAATTCTATTTTGGTCTCTACCAAAATCCGGGGGAAGAAGGGAAGTCTTGTTTGTCTCATCTGCCGGATCCCACTCGAAAGTAATTTGTTTACCGTGCCCTCAAGGCCCGGTCTAAAAAACCGAAATTAACGGCCGTGAGGATTCGTTTCGCTGACAACGCGACACCCTCTATCTGCTAAAGTTGGCACTAACTTCACCGAGAAGCGGCGGTCGCTCCGTCGGTATAGTTCATTTGCGGACTAGAACCACGGAGTTCTTTTCTGTTTGTTTTTTCCTTCCCTCAAGACACTATCGCCCAATAAAGCAAGAGCCATAAGTTCTCTTCGTTTACTTTTTATTTAATGGTTTATTTGAAGACGCTGTGAGTATCTAAACTAGATTATGCATAAGATGACGCAAATAGAGAACCTGGAAATTGTACAAGGAAGTAAGCGGAAGTCACCTAGTTAGAGGAAGCATACTGGCATTTCTTCGAAGGGATTCGAGTAAAACCACAAAGAACCTCAGTCAAGATAGTCAATGTCCCGGCCGAGATTCGAACCGGGCACTTCTCGAATACATATCGTAAGTGTTACTGATTGAGCAAACTTACTCGGTAATTTTCGTAGAGAATTTCTGCTCAGAATAATGTGAATATAGTGCTGAATCATCCAGTACCATAGAAGGCGGAGGATTTCTGCTCAGAATAATGTTAGGATGTGAGTACCAAAAATCAGTTCCTACCTCGCAGGAAACCCATTGCTTCTCCATTGTACAAAATAACCAGTTAATGAAGTTGGAGGAAATTGTAGACTTTTTATTCCCGAAATCACATGAAGCACATAAATACATTGTGGAGACAAATACATGGCTTCTTATTATTCAGGTAGGTGGTATGTATTATAACCATTGTGCTTCAAAATATTACGCTAGCGTCTTTCCACCATTGTTTCGTTAGTGGTTATTTATTTGTTGTAATAATGATTGAAGTATACACTGAGAAGAGTTAGAAATGAAAAACACGTGATATAACACACAGAGATATTGGGTTTTCGGACTTTATCTATCGTCCCAATATCTCCGTGTGTTATACAAGGTGTGTCCCAAAAGTCATGAAATATATTTCTTTCCCGCGCTCCTACTGGTCGGAGCGCGCTGGAACCGGTTGGGTTATGGGGGGGAGGCCTTTAGCTTCACAGCGCGCCCAAGGTCAGTCTGCTCGAGCATCGGAGGCGTCAGTATCGCCGATTTAGTGCACCTGTGTTTTGTGACCAAGTCACGGCGCGCGATGGCGGATACTTTCGAGCAACGTTGGGCGGTCAAGTTCTGAACAAAGCTCAATAAAAAAGCTGCCGAAACTCACGAACTGCTTAAGCAAGCCTACTGGGAGTCTGCTCACACCTCGGCTTCCCCGAAACCGAAGAAGGCGAAGATGAGCAAATCCAATGTGAAAACAATGCTCATCGTCTTTTTCGACGCCAAGGTTGTGGTCCACAAAGAGTTTTTACCCCAAGGACAGACCGTCAACGCTCCCTACTACGTGGATGTTCTAGAAAGATTAAGGAAAAGGGTCATCCGCGTGCGAAAAGACATCGCCGCTAACTGGCGGCTGCATCATGACAATGCGCCCAGCCACACGTCTCTGCTCGTCCGTGAGTTCCTGGGGAAGCACCACGTGGCAACGCTGCCGCAGCCACCCTACAGCCCCGACCT